AAACCGCCTTTACCCATGACGGATTTAGCACCTGGGTGAAAGCTACGCAGTCATTCATTACTCATGATGTGAGCAGTGGACATAAATGTGCCATGGATGCATGGTCTGAATTTAAATTAAGGAAAGAGAGTGGCTCAAAAATCAGTACCGCACTCAGCGAGGGACATTCAAAAACTGTATGTGAAAACAGGGAATATATGCGGGCAGTTGTGGAAGCATTGCGTTACACTGCGTGTCAAACCATTGCACAACGAGGGCATAGGGAGAGTGAAGCATCATCAAACAACAGGGGAAACTTCATCGAACTTTTAGACCTGATTGGCAAGTTTGACAAAACTGTGGCAAAAAAAATATCCGATAATCCGAGAAATGCAAAGTACACACACCACGACATACAAGATGAGCTAATTGAGCTGATGGTCAGGGACATGGGCGGCGCCAGGATTTTTTTGCTGCAGTAGCTTAGCAGTTGCTATATGACTGTGTAGCAGGGAGTTAGGGAGAGACCGCCCCTTCCAAGTGTGTGTATGTGTGTGCGTTTTCCGGTGTGTGTCACGTGAAAGTCATGAGTGTTACACTATTGATTGGTTCTGTAAATAAAGAGAACGTTTTCGACATTGAAGGCTTGAGTGATCTTGAATAGCGGTGAACGCTACAATATGAACAGGCTCGTGCTTGGCCCACTGGTATTGTTTGTTTATTTTGAAAATTAACTAGCAACGCCGTGCTGTCATATAGCAACTGCTAAGCTACTGCAGCAAAAAAAATCCTGGCGCCGCCCATGCTTACAGTGGTTGCTGCGTCAATACCCAGATAGCAAGCGGATGTGGCCCACTTCAGGCAATGATGCGGCACTGCTGGCCTTCTTCTGGCCCGGACCAAATGGATGTGTGCCTAAAGTGGCCCACTTGTAAAATAGCAAATATGGCCCACATATCCCAAAGCAAATGTGGGCCTTTTTTGGCAAAGATGCGGTGCTCCTGCAATGTGTAATCTGGATGTCACCCTAAAGTGGCCCATATGGGAAATGGTGAATATGGCCCAAATATCACAAAACAACTGTGGGCCACCTTTGGCAAAGATGTGGCAGAATGGACAAAGGCTAATCTGGGTGTAAACCAAAAGTGGCCCATATATGATGAAGCAAATGTGGCCCAGTTATCTTAAAACATATCTGGGCCAGTTTAGGCAAAGATGCAGCACAGTAATCCGGATGTGAACCTAAAGTGGCCTACATATGACATGGCAAAAATGGCCCAAATACTTAACAACAAATTTGGACCACTTTTGGCAAATGTAAGGCACAGTCAGCACTGGCTAATCAGAGTGTGAGCCTAAAGTGGCCCACATTTGACATGAAAAATATGGCCCAAATATTCAAAAACAGACGTGGGCCACTTGTGGTAATGATGCAGCACAATTGGTACCGGCAAATCTTGATATGAGCCTGAAGTGGCCCACAACTGATGCAGCAAATGTGGCCCGGTTATCTTAAAACATATCTGGGCCACTTTTGCAACACTTTTGGCACAGGCTAATCTAGATGTGAGCCTTAAAAGGCCTACATGTGACATATAGTATCAATTGTGGATTGGACTGCCGTGTGATCCGAGATAGGGTTAGGGTAGGGGTCAGCAACCTTTACTATCTTAAGAGCCAATCTGCCCTCACTTCCATCAAATAAATGTTGTCTGGAGCCGCAAAACATATTTATACTACACTATACTTTATACTATATGTACAAAAACTAAAGTTTGTTGCATTTATAAAATTATAGAACAACTATAAAGAGAACTCTTGACATGTGTGTATTTACCCGTTAAAACAAATCAAATCAACAACTCTTATGAAGAGAAAGTTTGCAATAAATTATACACTTTCCAGAACTTTCTGCATATTTGTGAAATATTAATACAATAGAAATTGATCACTTACAAAAGTATCAAACTTATTTTACTGAGACTTTTCTTATTCTTAGTAAGTAAAGAGAAACATTAATCCAGGGTTAGCTCACTGAGCCGCTCTGGAGACAGATGTGACGTGTATTTCACTCATCGTAGGCCGGATACTCAAACTCTTTTTTACTTTCAGTGTCACAGTATCACCTAGATGTTCCCTTTGAATGTTTGTCCCCTGCTCAAACACATATCAAATAACTGAGAGAGAGACATATGCAGCAAAGCGCCTGGGCCGGATTCAAACCCAAACCACTGTGGCTGACATGGTACGTGCTATAACATATGTATGTATGTAAGCAAACACACAGAGATAATGTAATGTGAATCTCGCAATCTTTGACCCCAGGTCAGTGTGACCATTATTGTTTTGGGGGGGCTTTAATGTGCTTCTAAATGGCAATCTTGTTTTTATTAATATACAGTAGCTCTTGCATATGCTATAGTCAGTTGACTTACTATGTTTTATATTGTGTAAGTGAAGTGTCTGAGTGATTAGGTTCAGACTTGTGAAGTTCACTGTTTTATGGTCTTGATCTTTGAATGTATATTTGGTTGAGATAATTTGGAGTTGCTGTATGTGCAAAACTTGATTGCAAGACAAATGTCTTCTTGGGACAATAAACTGTGCCATATAAGTAGGGGTGCACCGAATGGGAAATTCTTGGCCGAAACCGATACCGAAAATAGGAAACAGTTGGCCGAAAACCGAATGCCGAAAATGATTAATAGAAATATATATATATATATATATATATATAATGTATACATTTTTTACCAATGTTGTTCAGCTACCTGATTATGGAAATAGACATGATTATGGCAAAACTTAACTTAAATAATAATCACTATTATGGGTCCATAAAACATTTATTCAGCACTTTTGAATGCATACAGTACATTTATATATGTCATGTATTATTGCTAAAAAAACATTATATCGCATTCTTAGTGTCGCCAACTCGTTTCTAATATGCAAAGACAACAAATGCGTCTATGATGTATTTTCGATCAGACGAGATCTCTCTCCCCCGTCTGTGTGCGAGGGGGCGGGGCAGTTTACACACACGCAGCTGCTACATGCAGCGGAGCACACTGCGGAGATGGCGGAGAGAATGCGCTCCGAGGTGTGGTTAAACGTTACCCGTCTCGATGTGGAGAATACTTGTTACCATAAGTGCAATAAGAGTTTAGCATGTAAGCACGAGCAATTTGTCTAAACATTTAGCAAAAGTGCACCGCATGCAGACGGAGGAATGTACCGGGTTCGACCGTCTTTCTAGCAGCTCTGTAGCCCCATCCAGGAGTAACGTTTCCACGTCAGGTGTTATGTATGCTAGCAGCTACACGGAGTTAACTACATGATACAAACATGGGTTAATGATTAGAGGAAACTGAGTTATTTAGTTTGTTAAAATTGCAGCTATTCTGTTTACAGTTCTGTCATCAGATTATTTAATACGATTTGTTAAAGGCTCAGGGCAATCTCGATGACAAAGGTCAATGTTCCCCCCCCCCCTGTGAGCCAGCCGCGAGCATGGTCGCCGCGTCTTTATTACGTCATCACAACAACACGTTAGGTTACCAACGTAAGCCTGTTCTGACATTCGGTGATATTTTTTCAGCCGAAAGCCGAAAGGGCCTTTTTAACCATTTTCGGTGGCCGAATATTCGGTGCATCCCTACATATAAGATGGTATCAACGAGCCAAACTGGGTGCTAACAGGCCATGTGTGATCTAACTTCTAGATTGCTCCACAAGTGTGGGTTGGAAGTGCGGGCAGCAGGGGATACAAATGCAGTCAGACAGGCAGACTGAAGCAGTGCAATGTTTTATTGTAAATTAGCTTACGGCAGATGCAAGTAGGCAAACAGGCAGGCAGGTGAACGGGTAACGGGTAGATAGACAATATGCAGGGAGGTAAGTAGGTTCTGGTCCAGGATCGGGTGACAGAAGTTCAAAAGCAACAACTCAAGACAGCTATATAGCAGCTGGAATGAAATGGCAAAGAAAAAAGGATCTTGACCAGTACATGTAGTGAGTGGCTGATGAGAGAAGTGAGAAAAGGTGAGCAGGGGAATGATGAAGTCTGGTGAAAAAGTCTGAGGGCATCAGATGGCTCGAGGATGGCAGGTCTAGGGAGAAAGTTCATGGCCTGGGAGGTGAGCAGGGGCTTGAGACAGGGACAGATCGTAAAGCAGAGAGCAGGGGATGAGAGTGTGGCTGGAGGAAGGGACTTGGAGGCAAACTGTGACCATTTTTGTATCCTGATGGTGACATTCTAACACCAATAAATAAAATAAATAAATAATTCTTAATTTGTCTTACATTTGGGTTAAATATTGTCATTTAAATAACTACTATCATTTTTATTAATAATGAATAACAATATCTTTCTTAAAGAAAACAGTTATTAATATGTTTTTCAGGTTATTTCTGACATTAACTTTTTCATCCCATATTTAAACTATGCTGCATTCGTGGGAACTAGGAAGTCCCAAGTTTGAGTTAGAACAACCCTATGAATAGCCTTCAAGTTCTTTGTTAGAAATACAGATTTATTTAATTTTTTTGTTCAAATCAAATCAAATATTTTCAATACTACTATGGGTCTTTAGCCTTATTGTATTTGTAGTTGTATCTTCTTGCTGTCTTGTGGTTATGTATCCGTGGGAATTAGCATAATTTCAAGTTGGAGTATCCCATTTTCAGGGCCTTTTGAACGCAGCATGTCTGACTTGAAACAAGCGCGAAAAAAAGGCGCACTGTCAGTTGGAAGGATTGTCGGTGGAAAACTGTGCAAAAGTCAGTGGAGTCGCGGTAAATTTGAAATGAAATTATAAATATGACTTTCTGCTGGCAATCGGTATCTTACTAAGCTAATATTCTCAGTTGGAGCTAACTCCAATTAAGCTAATATTCTTAGTGGGAGCTAAAGATAATATTCTTAGTGGGAGCTAACTCCAGTTAAGCTAATATTCTTAGTGGGAGCTAACTCCAGAGTTAGCTACAAACTGAAAATCCAACAGGTAGCCTAACGAGAGTCCCTTAACACTATAATCGTTTTTTATCCCCCAGAAATATGTGTAATTCTGTGAATGTAAAACCCACACACCTCAAACTTTCAATATTCCTGTGTTATATTCCAAAATTAATGTAAACGTTGGAATATTGTAGTTAATCTCCTGTTAGCTGTTTGTTTAAATGTATCAGTCATGTTGTTTGTTTGTTGAGGCGCACCATTTATTGATTTGTTGTAAAAACGAATCAGAACTGAACTTGATCACAATAATAGATACAATTCATACCAATTTTGGGAGGGAGTAAGGCATCACATGTTTTTATTTGTAGGAAGTTGTTAAATGATAGCAAAAACCCTGTTACCTAAGATTTATTGCTCTGTATTATAAATTGGATTTTTATTATCCCCTAGGAATTGTAAAATTACCTGTCCCACATTTTGGTTTTGTCATGTTTGTATCATGATGTTTTTGACCTTAACAGTCATATTCACACTATGTTACAGATATTTGAAGGTGGGCAGAAAATACAGAGTGGCAAGTCACCATTAAGGTAAGCTGCTTCCATGTGATACACTTCGCTAACTATATGAAGTATCAATGTTAAATGTTGTTTCTTCTTTCTTTTTCACAGTAACTGGCTGTTGACAACCTATACAGGTTGGCTAATTCTCAAAGAGTAATTGTTGTTGTAATTGCTGTCTCATGGAGAGGGAAAAGTGGAATATCACTCGCAGCAATTTAAGGAAAAGGGCTGTTAAAAGAGTCAACCAGTTGTTAGAATCTTTTGGTGACGAGGATAATGATGTTGAGGATAATGCTGAAGAGAACTATAGTGTTGAACATGGAGCAGTCGCTTCAGGATCGGATTTTCCACCAAACTGTCAGTCAGAGAGTAATGGGGAAAGTGAATTAACTAGTGACGAGGATAGCCATGTGGATGAAAGAGGGGATCTTCCTAAAGGTGATTTAGCGGGTTGTTTGAGAGACTGGGCAACACATTTTGGTGTTTCATTGATCGCTTTGTCTGCCCTCTTGTCTATACTGAAACCCCATCACCCCTCTTTGCCAAAAGATGCAAGAACATTCCTCAAAACACAGACGTACCATAGTGTTGCTTCCTTGGCGGGTGGATCTTTCCATTATTTAGGTATACAGAATATGTTCAGCCAGATATTTCAGAAGCTTACATCAGTTGTCCCGAGTCATCACAGTTTCAAATTACAATTAAACATTGACGGTCTTCCAATTTTTAAAAGTTCAGCTGTTCAGTTCTGGCCAATTTTGGGAATCCTCCAGGGGTATTGTAGAAAACCTGTGCTGATTGCTCTTTTCTGCGGGAAGTCAAAGCCTCAGTCATTGTCAGAATATCTGAAGGATCTGGTCTGTGAGTTAAAAACCATGAGCAGTGGATTTGTTGTTAATGGTAAGACCTTCTTCTTGACTGTGTCCTCAGTAATCTGTGATGCTCCCGCGAGGGCCTTTGTTAAGGGTATTAAGTCACACAATGGATACAGTGGCTGTGATAAATGTGTACTGTCAGGCAATTACATTAATCATCGCATGACATTCCCAGAAGTTGATGCTAGAGCAAGAACTGATGTATCTTTTTCAAATGCAGAGGATGAAGACCACCACATACAACATTCCCCATTTTGTGAAACATCTGTTCCTATGGTCAGTGGATTTCCACACGACTATATGCATTTAGTGTGCTTAGGTGTGGTGCGTTGTCTGCTTGATTTATGGATGGGCACAAGCGGCAAGTTGCATTCCCGTATTTCATCCAGGCAAGTCTCTTGAAAAAATTGCTTGCTCTCAAAAGTTACATACCCTCAGAATTTGCTAGAAGGCCAAGGGCCCTTACTGAGAGGTTACGATGGAAGGCAACAGAACTTAGGCAGTTCTTACTTTATACCGGTCCAGTCGTTTTGAGGGATGTGCTGACTACTGAGGTTTATCAAAATGTTATGCTGTTGTCTGTGAGTATATACATTTTGGCAAGTCCAACATATTGCTTGCTGTTAAATGACTTTGCAAACACGCTACTTAGATCATTTGTTAAGCATTTTGGGGAACTCTATGGTCAGGGGTTTTTAGTTTACAACATACGGTTTGACTCATCTCAGTGATGATGTGAAGGTGCATGGCCACTTAGATTTAATATCAGGGTTTCCTTTCGAAAACTACTTAAAAACAATTAAAAGAATGGTTAGAAAACCTAGCTCTCCACTGCAGCAAGTTATACGCAGAATTTCAGAACTTGATTCAACAAGTTTAAAAGATGAGGAAACTTTGAAAACCCACAAAAAATTCAAAAGGCTACACTCAGATGGACCTGTTCCACATGGCTTTACAGGACATTTCTCCCAGTTTAAAGAACTGGCAATAGATGAGTTTGTCATCAGTTCATCAGAGAGAGACAGATGTATCAAGAGGAACAATAACATGCTCTTGGTTCAGAATATAATTGTCTTTGAGGGTGAGGAATACATTGTCTGCAAAGAATATAGACACATTGAAAAGTTTTTTGACTATCCCATTGACTCCACATATTTGGGAATTTGTTTTGTGTCAGATCTGTCACCAAATCTGATGTGCTTCAAGTTAGATACCAATGTGCAGAAGTGTGTCCGGTTACCTTTGGAGGTTGGTTTTGTTGTTCTGCCACTTCTTCATGCAGACCCATCCTAAATTGCAGTCTTAACATATCTGGTGTGGTAACAGTCATTGGGACTGCTGAATTTAACCAAGCTTTTTATCTTGAGGAAAATGATTGATCATTTGTGTGCATAACAGCGGTGACAGTGTCCAGCCTGCCTTCACTTATCTCTGTAGGTGCGTATCCCATATTATTATGAACATGTATTAATGATCAATTAAGCCATCATTCACCTTTTATAGCATAAGGATTATCATAAAAAAAGCTTTCTTCTAATTTAAAGACTTCTTATTATGTGAATACGTTTGCAGTTTTGAAAAAACATAAAAGGTTACTGTGTTTATAGTATACTCTTAAAACTAGTAACTTTGTGCCTCTTTCTGTTCTAGGCCATGTTTCACATTGTTGAGTTTCTGGAAACCCAAGAGGTTGAAGTAGTTCCAGCACTGTGGGTTGCAGATGATATCTGTCAGTGGCCAGCTCACTACAAGCACGACGACTTAATTAAAGCCATAAGAAATGAGGAGCAGCCTGAACACATCTGGGATGCATTTAGTGTCCGAATTCTATATACAGCTGGTATGCAAATAACATATTTACTGTGAGGATTCACTGATTTGAAAAATCATAATATAATGATATTTCTCTTGTTTTTACAGAAAACTACAAAACCGCTCGTCTAAAACTCCCTCAAGCGGAAACCCACACTGATCTTCAAACAGCAGAGGAAGAAGAGGAGGATGTCCTCCCAAAAAAAAAGCGTAAAAGGCTGTAAGTATTAAAGTGCAATTCTACTACTATTGTTATAGATGTAAATGTTATGGAAAAATCAACATGTGTGAATTTTTTCAGTTCTCAAATCTAATATACGACCTCTCAATAATTGAGACTAATATACCTTAATAGAGAAGTGTTTTTTTTCATAACTTAAGTATTTAAACAAATGTGTTAAAAACACTATTTAAAAAAAATGGTGCTCTGAAAACAAAATGCAGTGGGTTTGTCCTCGCCTCCAAACTATCCCTACATACTAATGAGTCATGGTAGATATACATTTTATCTGATATACATCATCAACACATCATTTATGCTGTATTGTTTTTCCTTTGTAATCTTTGAAATTCATTCTGCTTTCATTTCCTGTGTCGTGTCCCCCCCCCCCTCCCCCCCCCCCCCCCCCCCCCCCCCAAACACACTCACGCACAAGACCGAACATTCGATTTGAGAGTGACAGTGATAATGACGTTACTGTCAAACAAAAAAGGACATTGCCACCAGCCCCAAACATAAAAGGGCCAGGCTTTGATATACAGTCTGCATTAAAAAAAAGTAGTTATGAGCACAAAACCTCACAAGCAGATGACAAGCCCCCCGACGGTCTGCGAGAAGCCCAGAACCCCAACGGTCTGGCTCTTTGAGAAGCCCAGAACCCCAGCGGTCTGGCTCTTTGAGAAGCCCAGAACCCCAACGGTCTGGCTCTTTGAGAAGCCCAGAACCCCAACGGTCTGGGTCTTTGAGAAGCCCAGAACCCCAGCGGTCTGGCTCTTTGAGAAGCCCAGAACCCCAACGGTCTGGGTCTTTGAGAAGCCCAGAACCCCAGCGGTCTGGCTCTTTGAGAAGCCCAGAACCCCAACGGTCTGGCTCTTTGAGAAGCCCAGAACCCCAACGGTCTGGCTCTTTGAGAAGCCCAGAACCCCAACGGTCTGGGTCTTTGAGAAGCCCAGAACCCCAGCGGTCTGGGTCTTTGAGAAGCCCAGAACCCCAGCGGTCTGGCTCTTTGAGAAGCCCAGAACCCCAACGGTCTGGGTCTTTGAGAAGCCCAGAACCCCAGCGGTCTGGGTCTTTGAGAAGCCCGGAACCCCAGCGGTCTGGGTCTTTGAGAAGCCCAGAACCCCAACGGTCTGGGTCTTTGAGAAGCCCAGAACCCCAGCGGGTCTGGGTCTTTGAGAAGCCCAGAACCCCAGCGGTCTGGGTCTTTGAGAAGCCCAGAACCCCAGCGGTCTGGCTCTTTGAGAAGCCCAGAACCCCAGCGGTCTGGGTCTTTGAGAAGCCCAGAACCCCAGCGGTCTGGGTCTTTGAGAAGCCCAGAACCCCAGCGGTCTGGGTCTTTGAGAAGCCCAGAACCCCAGCGGTCTGGGTCTTTGAGAAGCCCAGAACCCCAACGGTCTGGGTCTTTGAGAAGCCCAGAACCCCAGCGGTCTGGGTCTTTGAGAAGCCCAGAACCCCAGCGGTCTGGGTCTTTGAGAAGCCCAGAACCCCAGCGGTCTGGGTCTTTGAGAAGCCCAGAACCCCAGCGGTCTGGGTCTTTGAGAAGCCCAGAACCCCAGCGGTCTGGGTCTTTGAGAAGACCAGAACCCCGACGGTCTGAGAAAAATCCTGGAACTCAACGACAAGATGAAAGCGAAGGGGGTCTTGCTCGTAAGTGATTTCACAATTTGTTATTGCTTTGTCTGTAAATGTATATGTATGTGTATATACACACACACACATATACTGTATATGAGTAGAGGAGAAATAGTGTGATAAAAGATGCATTTATATATGTTGAATGTCCTTATTTTTAGCTCTTCTGCATAGACTTCTTACGAATCAAGAGATGATGATGGATCAACTCAAAGTCATTCAGATGACCATGCAGAAAATTCCTGGCGAACCTGCTGGTGGGCCGGATCCCCTTGGCAGAGATATACTGCCGCTAAACGATGTAACCTCCCTGCTGGCTCTGGAGAAACGTGTGAGGGAAGAGGCAGACCTTCAAAACAAAATGGTAATAATTGCCCTTACCAACTTAAAAGGATGGGGGACCCAATTTGAAACTATTGTAAATATTTTACTTGCCACCTAAGTTGTATGTTGGACAGCAGTGATGCTAAATACCAGCTATGGGAAAAGGGAAATAATGTTTTTTTTTAAAATTAGGTTATTGTGACTAGTGTTTATATAATGCATGGATCCTTAGCTTTTAAATGATCTTTTTCAGATTACTGCATTGAGTGTCATTGGAGGACTGGACGTTAAGGATTGCATTTGGCGAGTGATGAAACACTGTTTTACCAACTCCCTTGCCAAACAGCTCAACTGGCGTGGCATCAATGGGAAAACAGCATTCCACAGACTGCAACTTAAAGATGTCATTACTGGTAAGTGTTACATTGCGCTGTCATCAGTCTAATAAGTCCAGTCCCCTTTTCTTGCATGTTTGACACTCAGTTAGTACTTACTGATCCTAGATTCAACCAATTCAAATTACTCTTGGTAGAAAAAGACATATAAAAGAATAATTTGTTTAACATGGTTTGCCACATAAAAAGTAAAAAAATAAACTCTGAAAAGAGGCTGGAAGCACATCTACTCTTTCTCCCTCATTGAGAAATTCTGGATCAGCTGCAGTCCGATTTTACTAGCAGGCGTCAAGCTGTTGAGCAGAGGCAAAGGGCGTCCTCTGCCATGGCCAGAATGTTCTCAAAGTGCCGTCACCACTGAATTGGTCAGACACAGCACGCCATGCACTTGGCTGATCCTTAGGTCCCCAGATTGGGTCCTAAATTGTGCAATCCATCCAAGGCTTTACAATGTTCTCTATTTTTAGGGACTGTCAGAAACAACAGGCTCACAGCGACAGCAACAGACCAAGAGGTAGAATCCTACATAAAAAAATGGCTTCACCTTGCGGGCGACCGAGATGGAGGTAGAAGAGAGAGAGAGAGGAACGAAGACGAGCTGTCCAAGAAACCTGTAAGTCAGTTACAATATCTATTTTGCAATATATGTATAATAATTTGTAATATATAATATAGCATATACATAAGGAATTGTATTTTGTTTGCGGTTTTGTACGTTTGATTGTTATCTGTTACTGAGTCAACAGAGTTTATTTGTTTGTGCATTCCTTATAGGCCTTCAAGATTCTCATGGGCCCAGTCAAGGAGGTCGATAAATCCATCGATAAAATGTCCAGGTTGTTCCCTTGCCAAGGTCGGCAAAAGTTTGTTAATTTTGGTTGAGCAGGGTTAGGTTTAACCCTATGGTTCTACAAGTATTCTGTTCTAGTTCTGTTTTCACAAGAAAATCAATAAAATAAATCTGAAATGTCACTGAGTCTGCAGAAGAGTTTGTTTATTTGGGGAGCTAAGCTTTTTTTTTAGAATTGCGTGTTTTTTTCAAAGTTGCTTTACTATACAGCTATTTTGTTTTTGTTTATTATGCTGTTATTTTGGCATGGTTGGATTGTATCCCAGTTATTTTGAAAATGTAATGATGCAGTGGCTAGTTCATCACCAATATTAATAAATGATGATACAATCATTAAAAAAAACGTTTGGTTCATCTGTTGTGATTTATTGATGCAACTTTTGGGAGGCCATTTTGACATTTGTATTTACTGTATGTTGAATATTGCTGTTGCAGAATACACAGTGTCATTGATATTCAGTCATTGAGTCACCAAAGTTGTAATGGCTTTTAAGGGCTAGGTCTGGTTTATTTGGGTCATTCTTGGCTGACATGTGGCCATGCTTTGACCTGTTTGTGGCACAGATCTGGTAAACATCACCTGACCGTCAAAGTGCCATAATTCCATGCAGCATTTGGGCCGGATGAGGATACGGAATGTGGGCCGGATCTGGGCCAGAATGAAAACTAACTGTGGCCCAGATTAGGGCCAGTTCTGGTTTATGTGGTTCGTTTATGGTTGACATGTGGCATTGCTATGGCTTGCTTGTGGCCCAGATCTGGCAAACAGGAGCGGAGCGCCTAAGTGCCATCATTCCATGCGGTATGTGGGCCAGATGAAGGTGTTTTGTGTGGGCCGAATCTGGGCCAAACCTTTTTTGCTATCTGGGTAGGTATTGTCGTCACCCGGTCGAGATGCACACTGAGTTCATCAGATTTTAAATGCGGTATTTAAATACTTTTTTAGCTGAAAGATGACTGAGTCACGCTGTTGTATTTCACGCAATCAGCAGACTGGCCCTGCCTATATTGTAATGCAGGCTTGAGTGCCCCTACTGAGACCTGTGTAACAGGTTTCGCTTGAGCAGATCTGAGATTTAAAATCTCTCAAAAGCGCCGTTTTAGCTACAATAACTACAGAACAATTATACAGAGTAGAATAGATGAAACAGAGAAGTCTAATTAAACAAGAATATAACTTACAGTGGTTGCTGCGTCAATAGGTATTGTCGTCACCCGGTCGAGATGCACAACCTTTTTCATTACAGCAAGCGCGTCCCCCGCAAACGAGGCACGAGGCACTGGTTATTAACTATGAGTGTTATCTGAGTAGGTGTGCCTCAGGGTTTCCGTTAGCCGGTAATTACCGGTTTTTAGCTGGTAAAATGTATTAAAAACCGGTAAATTCAAAACCTGCCGGTCAAAATGTCTGGTAATAATTAGGGATGCTCCGATAGATCGGCCGCCGGTCATTATCGGCCGATATTCACTCTTAATAGTTTGATCGGTGCTCTCTATAAAGCCCGATCAGGAGAGCTGGATCTGATCGATATGGACATAAACGCGAGTGAAGTATAACCGGACACGAGAGAGAGATCAGATCAGCTGCTGAGTCTGACAGAGACACGCAGCTCTGCATAATCACCTGAAGCCCCGCCCACTGTTTAGCGAGCTGCAGGAGCTGCATGAGAAACTGACGGGCTGTCAGGAGAGAGAGGGAGGGAGAGAGAGAGGGAAAAGAGAGGATCCGTTTCTCCCGTGTTATTATTCAAAGTTAATGTACACTTTTGAATAATGTACTTCATCTACTACAAGTAGTTTGTTTGAATGTAATAATTATGTTGTTTGTTGTTTGTGGAATCATTTATTGAAAAATGTATCTGAATTGTTTCGATCTGTTACGATTATAGACTGAAGCAATATAAAAATGAGCCCCGTGAACTGAGTTTTAAACATCAGCATATCTGCTCATAGTCCGCTAATTACCTGCTAACGGAAACTCTGCTACACAACTCTTATTATTATTATTGAAATATGACCGGTAAGTTTCAAATGTATCCGGTAAAATAAATTCTGCCCGGACATTTGACCGGCGAGAAAAAATCCTAGCGGAAACCCTTGTGTGCGTGAAGGGTATTTCGAGGGGAATTTGCTTACCAGCGCCCTCCTCATAGCCGGTGAGTTTGTCCTTTTCCCGGACATGCGGCATGCTGGTGACCCGGACGTCCACAGTAGAAACAGCTTCCCTCCTGTAGTCGGCGCTGTCTTTCCTTTGGGGAAATCCTGGTTCTTCCCAGCTGCATGGGTTCCTCCCGTGCCTGTGGAGGCGCTGTGCCTGGAGTTGCAGAAACCGGCGGAATCCAAGAGGAAGAATCTCCAGGAAAACGCCTCTGGTGGCTTGGAGGTCTAGGTGTGGCTCGACGCCTCTCTCTCTCCCTCTCTCTGAGGCGATTATCCACTCGAGTGGCCATGGAAATTAATGTTTCCAAGTCTTGAGGAAATTCCAACGGAGCCAGGCAATCCTTTGTGGGATCTGACAGTCCGTTCATAAATGCGTCTATCAACGCAGGAGTGTTCCAGCCACTGTCTGATGCTGCAGCGTTTTTATCGTTTTAATGCCATTGAAGACAACTTTTGATCAGACAACAACAAAGGTAAGACATATTGCCGTGTTGGCTACCTAATGCTATGTGGTGTGATGTATTTGTTAAATTCTCATGTCGCGAGTTCGGATCGGTCAGTAATGATACCAATACCTGTCGATTCTGTGCAATCTTAGCTTGCTAATCGATATCTTGTTTGTGCAGATACAATAAGTAATAAGGGTATTTTAACGTGAGTTCTGTGCTAAGTGTGTTAGCATGTTTTCGCTCAGGGCTAATTCAGAGCCTTTGTTATTACCCTTATGTTTCGTTTTGCTAAAAATTGTTAATATTGTCTGATAGCTGAGTTTCTTCCCGTTAAGTGGGTATGACACATTCATAGGTTTTTAAATGTTAAGGAGCCCTCAGTCGCTGTTTCTTGCTGATGTTGCGATTTTACCCCCGCCCGTGGGGGAATGGGGCTTAACAGGTTAACAGAGTAGGTAGTGCAAATAACAAAAGGCGCTCACAAGGAGGAAAAAACTAGTGTAACAAAAAGAGGACTTAATAAAAACTTAAGCCAACAAAAATAAACAAAATAACAAAACCTGACATGAGTGAAAAGCGATCCTTTCTGGGCTTGAGGCTTGGCACAACCATTCGGGGAAACAAACAAGACGAACTGACACAGGACAGGGGAGAGACAGGACTATTTAAACAAGAGGTGAGTGGGAACAGGTGGAAACAATCAGGGGCGGACACTGATGATGGCAGGAAACACACACAAGGGGAGGAATAAACAGGGCCTGAAATGAAAGACAAGAGGTAAATACAAAATGAAACAGGAAATGACAGACAAAATACATAAACATAACTAACACATTTGACGAGACACAACAGGAGATCGGCTAAGCTAACGTTGTATATGCTCCGACCGTCCACACTCACAACAACGACCTATACAGACATAAATAAACCAGCGACTGTATTCACCATGACACAGACAGTCTGTGGTTTGTACTTGTTTAACTTTTGTCTAGTTTCTGAACAGATTTGAGGAGCTGTGAGCTCTGAGGGCTAACAGCTAATGGCTGATGTTGGTTTTGTGTTTCACATTGAAGATGAGGTTACGGCTCCGCCTACACTGTGTTACTATAGTTATATCTCTCACAGGCTCCGCCCTCTACTGGACTCTATGGGTACTACATTACCCTGCGAGCATTCTCCCATTGAGACTTCTATAGACGTAGCCGGCCTTGGGCGGGCCTACCTGAATGCGCGCGCATCACACCGTATAAAAGGAGGCCTCGCCTCCTGACTATCATCTTTTTCTCTTCAGCAGCGGAAGTGATTCCACGAGAGACTGAGACGTTTGAAAGAAGAAGAAAGAGTTATCATACCTCCAGGGAGTCGCCACTGCTAGAGACCCGGGCCTGTCCTTCGTGCCCTGGCTTAAATAGCGGGCGCCGATCCCCACCACCTTTGCTTCGAGTGTTTGGGGGACCAGGATATGGCAGAGGCGGTGCCATTCACGTTCGCCATTCCTTCCGGGTCTGGCGTCCATGGAAGTCCACCGCCCAGGGCAGTACTCTCCCTGGGTGATGATCATGGCGGCGGGTGTGTGGGCTACTCACTCATTGCTAGAGATGCCCCCGCCTCACAAGGTCAGAGCGATTATTGGGCCGCAAGGCCGAATAAGTAGCTTGGTCCACGGGCCTTGCCCCAGGCCCGGTTCCCCCGGGGACCGGTGCTCGGTGGCTTCATATGATATAGGGTCGACCTTACTTCATCACAGGCCGCCGCCGCTGCCCGCCGTGTGATGTCCCTGGGATATCACGCCGCGTGGCACTTTCCAAAGAGTATCGTGTTGATCTCCTGGGAGCCCCCGTGTTTACGGAAGGACTCTTTGGATCGATCTCCTTGCTCACGGGATGAGGAGTAGTCGCAGCGTGGCTGCTTCTTGCCCATCCCCAGAGGAAGAAACACTGTCCTACACTCCCTGCCCCTGCTGTAAACCCCAGTATAGGGAGCCAGCAGGTGCGCGTGTGCACGTGAGTGGAATAAACCGAGTGCTGTAAAAGCACTGTGCGGGTTCAAGAGACGCTATTGCCGGCGTGCTGTTGTCAGAAAACACACCTTGCCTGGTATAATAGCTCTGATTAATGCATTTCACCGGTACAATGGGAAATACAGCGTTAATACGTGGGCGCGCAGCCCTCGTGAGAGTGGCCGCGGTGCGTTCAGGGACCCCCGCAGGAGAACGGTGGTTTACGTTTGTAAACTCTAGTTCTAGTAACAGTTAAATATTATTTTGATAATAACATATATTTCAATGTTGATGAACTTCATACTGTTCATTCATAATCTGATTGTCTTTGTAGCTCATTGTTGAAATAAAAAAAAACATTACAATTACAAAATAATTATATCTACAGCCCCTAAACACACAAACACACCGCTTTCATAAATAACACACTTGTTCTTCAATAATATGTTTTATGTTTCCTGTCATTTTTGTTAGGAAAGGACATGCCTGAAAGACACGACATGTTCTCCTTCTC